CATCTTTGATCAACGAGCTAGTCAAGTAGAGGCATACTAGGGACACTTTGTTTGTCTATGTATTCACACATGTAATAAGTTTTCGGTTAATACAATTCTAGCATGAATAATAAACATTTCTCATTGTATAAGGAAATATAAATAACAACCTTATTATTGCCTCTAGGGCATGTTTCCTTCATGGCCCACTACGCGCGAAATGTCAATGATGATGAGCCCTGCATGCGGCTCCTTCCACCGACTACAACTTCTCTTCCGGACCCGACTGGGTTGAGTTCTTTGACGAGGCTGGTGGCAGTGGCGTCCATGATGAGGACGATGACGAGTGATCCTCTCTTGTCATTAGCTCCCTTTGACCTTTTGGGGAGTTAGTGCCAAAGGGGAGAAGTAGTATATTAGGGGTTTGTGGGTGTTTATCTACGTGGTCAAATATCTCGTGTCTTATGGTGTTTATTTGGATCTTATCGACATGTGAACCATTATTTGTAATAAGTTCAAAACTATGTGTGGTACTATCGGTGTTTGTCGAATCTATTTATGATATTATTTACATTATGAGTTGATCATATTGATGTTTATCAAGTCTCTCATCTCATAATAATTATTAGTTTCGACATGTCATGCTTCATTTGTTTATATGTGTCAAAATATTGCAAAACCCTCTTATGCAAACACATTAATATGTGCAATTTCTTTATGATAAAATCAACTATCCACAAATTAAGGGGGTCACATTCAAAATCATATAAACAACTTGCTCTCACGTGCCTCATTGATTTATATTTTGAGAGCTATATGGATGTTGTCATCAACTACCAATAAGGGGAACTTGAAAGTGAAATCATGCCCCTAATTACATTTTGATGTTTGTGACAATATACATATAGGGAACTAATCATGTTCATTAAATATATCACAGGTTTTAGTCCCCGTGGGAACATATATGTGTGGGGATCATGGACCCACTTGAATTGATATTGCTCGATAACGAAGAAACACATATATGATACACAGACTTTTCGTTTTATTATTGAGTATAAGGATCCCACACTATTAAGAGTGGATCATTGGGGTTCATGAAAGATTTGATCTAACACGTAGTTCCTTGCAAATATTCTCCACTCACATCATTCACGGTCACGACATACACCACTCCCATCAATACACATGTGACATGCACATACATCTACAAAAGTGCCCTAGGAATAATGTTCACAACATACACATACACGGATACTTAGAAAATAAACTAGTTTCATTGACCAGATGTCCGGTCCCTCATCCGGCATCAGATGTCCGATATCCATCTTACATCCGGCAAACCATCACAAAACCAAAATCAGTGGAAATTAACAAACTTCTGGTGGTTACCGGATGTCTGGTGGCTCACTAGGCCATGGGACGTCCCGTCACCACCAAATCTCCAGTATACCTATACAGAACATAAGCTACCAAATATTATTGGATTTCTGGTACTCACCGGATGTCTGGTGCACATTGTGCCACTGGATGTACAGTCACTATCGAATGTCTGGTATACCTTTATAGAAGAATACCCACCGAATTTTATCGGATATCTGGTACCCACCTGATGTCAAGTACTTGCCACGTGTGGGCTGGTGCGTGTTAATGGGATTATCCCAGACAAACGATGTGCATGTGTGTCCGGCCCAGGCCCCGGGGCTCCTGTCAGTGTAGTGAACTTTGGGCGTTGATACTCCTGACCATGCACCAGCAAGTTGCAGCCTCCATGCGCGGAAGGGCATGGCATAGGACAAGTCCATCTCATCACATTCAAGGCATGGTAAATTAATACCATGAAGAAGACCTCGAGGCAGGTGACTGAGAAGTAACGGAGATCAAGACCAAGGCTTCCAGGAAGCTACCTTCCCCGATAAGGTATTTCCCCACGTTGCCGGCAAGCCCAAGCTCCCTCCATCGCTTTGCCCGCACCTACTTATCAGGACTCTGTCGACAGGTGGCGGGCGTGCAGGCGGTTAGGTAGAGGCTGTCGAGGCACGTGGCAATCCACCGCCTGGAGAACAACTTTATTGACACCCGTGTGTCGCTTTGGGGCACCGGGTGTCCGGTACATACCAGATGTCTGGCACTTTTAGCACTTGTTTATTTGCCCTCTTCACTACACCGTGCCCTTCTTCAGACATCGGATGCCCGGTACTTAAACTGCATAAATAGTTCCAACAACCACATTTTGGGGTTCCCTGTATATACCCCTTTCCCACTCCGAGAGGGGGTTGACCACTTCATTTCAAAACACCCAAGAACCCTAAAGTTCCCCCTCTCACTTTCCTTCACACCAAACCTTAGATCCTGGAGGTTTTTGTGAGAGTTCTCGATAGAAATTTCATCAAGTGATAGAGTCACTCCCTCTCACTCGTTGGATAAAAAAAATCGTGATTTGAGCAAGTCCCGAGCATTTCCCCCTTGATGTTATTACTCTTGGAGATTGGAGGCTCCTAGGTAGTAGGAGTTCTTCAGAGAGGAATGGTTAATTGTGATTACCCCAGGAAAGTTTGTGAAGGTTTTAAGACCACCTCAAGGTCTAACACTAGTGGTTGAAAATGGCCTTCCCGGTGATATCTCAAGGGGATAATAGGGTGAGCATTCATGGTAACATCGGCCCCTCCAATGGTGACTAGATTCCCTCCAAGGACGTGAACATCAGGATACATACTTGTCTCTGGAGTTTTGGTTATCCTAACCCTAACTCTCTAATTGTGGTTACTTCTCTCTTGGCTTTACTTATATCATATTGTGCTTGCTAACATCTCTATTAGTTGTCGTTGTTGAACTACTACTAGAACTAGTATCCCCTTTGCAATTGTTAGGCTCGTCTTTATATTTTGTGTAATTGTCTAAAATTGCTAGGCAGTAATTAAAATTTTTAATTGCACCTATTCACACCCCTCTCGGTCGATCTCGATCCTTTCATTGGGCTTGGAAGCTACTCAATAGACTTGAATTCAAGTCCCCCTTTGAGCACTTCTTTTGTTTTTGCTCCCCCACTTGGACTAATCGATATAAAACCAGGGTGAGTAAAAAATCTATGGACCGGTGCAGAAATGAAAATCGAAGAACTAGAATGCAATCGAGTTGGAAAAAATAAATTGGTGGAAGTGAGACGACGATCGAACGAGAGTGGGACATCGATCGTACGAGGCGTTTTGGTCTGTCTTTAAAAATGAAATGTTCACCAGGTAGTACAATCCAATAGTAAAAGTAGGAATTTGCACGGGTGCAATCCGCGTTCATTTTTAACTGGACGCTCATCACCTACCCAACTTGATCCAAGATGCATGGGCCCACTTTGTTAAGAGGAAATATCGGTGTTTATAGAACAAATAGCAGTAGGCTGCTATTCATCGTGAATCCCACAAACTCCCAGCTGCTAGATTTAGAAGACTAACGATAAAGATTGATGTTTGAGTTCCATCAAAACTAATACGCTTTATAACAGTATAGATATAACCTGGGAACTGGTGGTGGTGGTGAGTTCATTTCGCACTCCACCCCAACTTATGTAGAACCCACCAGACCCATTCAGTTTGGAAGATTTAACTCTCCACTCCACCTCATTCTCCTTAGTCCCTATCCATATAGAACCCATCAGACTCCTTTGATTTGAGTTTACTCCCTACTCCATCCCAACCCCTCTTATCCATTTAGAACACATCATGCCCCTTAGGTTTCCCCATAAAACCGTAAATAATGCAGTTAGGAAGCTTTGATCCTCACACATGCCTCTACACCCATAACGATAAAACAAGCAGGTTGAGTAAGTATTTTGTAATTATATGTCAGTGGGTAGTTCTTTTATCATGGCACAACCGAACGAGGCAACCCATCAAGTACAAATAATTCCTGTCATGGCTTCTCCCCAATATGCATCCACCAGTCGCCACTCTTTCCCAACCCCTCTCCACCGGCCGCCCCTTGTCCTAACCAATCTAGCTATGGTTTTGCCGCCACAAATCGGTGCTCGCAAATGCAGTGTTGCCTGCTTGCTTGAGTTTCTCTTTCCGGTGTTATAAGTGCATTGATTGTAATATATACTACTATCAAATTTATTTTAACTAATTTTGTGGTTTGTACTGCGGAAAGCATTATGCTAGTGCAGTTAATTTTAGGGTTTTCATAACCAGCAAACATTCTCTGGAAGGGCATGACACAACAAACTGTTTTATGACAGTTTACGTAGTCATAAGTTTTTTTGTCAGGCTTTGCCGTGCTTGCCAAAGGAATTTGTCATCCTCACGACAACGTAAATGGTGATAAAACATTCATTTTGCCATGCCCTCCGAAGGGAAGCGCTCAGCCAAATAACAATTCCCATTCTTTTTAACCACGTATGTGAATACGCAATCCAACGCAACAATCATCCCAATCTGAGTAGTGCACTCTGACGTCCTCCCAAGGAATCCCTATCCTATCGGAATTAGATATTTGACTTGAGTTTTCTGATCACCGATCAGCGAAAAGAAGCCATAAAAAGGGAGAAGAAAAGCAGAGAAAAGAACAGAGAGGAAGATGCTCGAGCCGCCTCATGGCGTGGTTCGAACGCGAAGATATTCCTGCCTTCCGCAGCCGTACACCTGTAGCCATCCCTCGACCAAACCGACGGCTCCGATCTCTCCACCTCTTCACAAAAGTCCTCTTCCACCGAGACGCGGGCCCTCACCATCTCCAACCCACCGTCATCCTCAGCAAAGGCAGGCAGGTAGGTGTGGCCGGAGCACGTGCTGTCAGTGCTATAAATGCGCTGGAACCCTAGGATTCGGCGCGAGCTTATCACTTATCATCATCAGCGCCCCTCCCTCCCTCCTCCTCCTCGCGCGTCCTGATCCATCATCCAGCCCAGGTGAATTCAGGGTATCGATTCAGTTCCGAATTTGGCCGAGCTTTCTTGATTTGGGAGCTTCGAAGCTTAATCTCGTTGCTCGTATTTGGTTTCTTGTTATTAGCAGGTGATTAAGGTCGCCATGTCGGACTCCGAGGACCACCACTTCGAGTCCAAGGCCGATGCCGGGGCGTCCAAGACCTACCCTATGCAGGCCGGCGCCATCCGGAAGGGCGGCTTCCTCGTCATCAAGAACCGCCCCTGCAAGGTACGGATTTGCTTGCCTCGATCCCGGCTGGATGGTTGTGTGTGTGTGTGATCGCAATTCCGATGCTGCTCTTCATGGCCGCCGTACTATGTAGGAATACTGATGTTGCTATCTCCGGATGCTGCTATTTCTGTTTGAGAATGCTTGGGAGCTGTCGTCGGATGGTTCCGTTTCGTATCAGTGGATTGACTTGTTGACATATCGGTGGTGACCCCAGGGAAAAGGGTGGAGTTGTTATTTATAGGGGCGGGGAGCTATTTTGACCATGTTCGCCACTATCTGCCCTGCACTGTGCACGATTAATTAGGAGGGTCTTGAAACAGGGGAAGATGTACTATCCCCTTTCCTGTGATCCAAACAAAAATCATGTGATGGGATAACTTTTAAGAAACATGTTTTATTGTACAACCAAACTTGCTAACGTCCATTATTCCTGTAATCTTAATAATATTTTCCTAGTATTTTGCGGGGTAGAAATAGTTTGATAACCAAAACAAAAAAGGGATTTCCACTCAGGCTCTTTAAACTATATCTGTACAGTGGGTGATTTGGCTATTCCGTGTCAGAAAGTTAAGATTGTAATCGAAGTGTAAGGGGCACTGTCGACATGTTTGGATGGAATATGATGGAGATTTTAAGCTTCCTGCATGTGCATAGACCTAACTTCCGAAGGAAACAATACCTTTCTTTCTCAATCTATTGCCTTGACTTCTCCAAAGAAATCCTCGATCATAAATTTGGTCTGTTTCTTGTAATTTGTAAGGGACAATCAGTTAATTGACTCAAAAGCTAAAACTAATTTATCCATGTTTATCTAGCTTGTTGTGCCATGGTGATTGCTGTCCTTACCTTTTTAGTACATATTTCTTCACCTACTCCTGTGTGTATGTTTCCTGTGAGTTCTGACGTCTGTCATTGTGATCAGAATACACTTCAAGGCTTAAGCCTGAAAATATGTGGTGCTTCTTTGCCATTAATTTTCAAGTCTTTTATCTTATCTTGTTGTGCTAAATAAACTTGTGCTACAGGTGGTGGAGGTTTCTACCTCGAAGACAGGAAAGCACGGTCATGCTAAATGCCACTTTGTTGCCTTAGATATATTCAATGGTAAAAAGCTTGAGGACATTGTTCCTTCATCCCACAACTGTGATGTAAGTTTATTTTATCAATGTTTAATAAAGAACTTTGGTTGGTTCAGTTTTACAGATAACTCACTATTCTATATATTTTAGGTGCCACATGTGGACCGTACTGAGTATCAGCTGATTGACATATCAGAGGATGGATTTGTACGTTCTACTAATCAAGAAAATGTATTTTATTGTGCATAATTGTTGGCCTCGATACTTACTATATTATTTGTTTTAGGTGAGCCTTCTTACTGATAATGGTAGCACTAAGGATGATCTTAAACTCCCAACTGATGATGCTATCCTGACCCAGGTTTGGTTGACAAATCTTTAAGCATCTTTTTCTTATTTTTGCATGTGTTTATCCGTGATAAGGATGTGTCCTTACTCCTTACTCATTTGTTATGTTTGTTATGCTGTCTTCTTTGCTTGATAGGAGTTATATCACCCCTTATATTCTGAGATAGTTCTTTCTATACTCCAAAATATCCTGACTGGTGTTGATATTTCTGATCTTAGTTACCAGTTTTATTTGGATTTATTTTTAGCACAACACAAGTCACATCTATGATTGATATCTTCTGTGTTTTAGTATTTCTGAGTATCTCGATTTATTGATTTGATGTTTATATAGGTAGTAGGAACTTTTAGACACTGCACACTTCTGAAATAGCTGCAATAAGAACTAGAGGATATCTAGACATTTACTCTTCTCACCTCTCTGTTTATACTCTTTATTATCATCTGTTTTTCTTTCTTCTGGTCGTGAAAGGCAGACTTTTCACCATGACCCTACATTGTTGCAGTGTACATCTAAGCCAGTAACACTAAAATCTTGCAGCCAAGGCTGCTCTGGTTGTTGCTCTGTTTTTTGATGTGGTGCATGTTACATTTCTCTCTCTTCAGTATATGAATTATGAAGCGCATACATGAATAAAACTCCGATGTTTAGAAGTGTTCTTGCTATTTCCTTTCCACCTCTGTTGTGCTGCACACTTTACTTTCACTTCATCGCTCATGCATCTCGTTCTGCTTGCCATCCATCTCCCTCGAAGCACGTCTGAATTTTTCTGTCAAATTGCACTGTAACCGTGATTACTTTTGCTGCTTTATCATTTATGCATTGCAAACACATACTTATATGCCTTAGACATTACTAGTAAGTACAGTAGTACTGTACTTCTTATGAGGTATATGAATATCCAAATTGCTTACTGGGTAAAAATCTGCTTGTTAATTCAGCTCAAGGACGGATTTGCTGAGGGGAAGGATCTGGCGCTGACGGTCATGTCGGCCATGGGGGAGGAGCAGATCTGCGCAGTCAAGGACGTCGGCCCCAGGTAACTTCCTCGGATTGAGGTCCAAGATAAACGGAGGGATCCAGTATCTGTCAAATTTAAGCTAAAGAAAGACGAAGTATTAAAGGAGGAATGCTATCGAGTGAGACATTCACCTAAGCCGGAGTCAAGTGCAGTGATTGCTGGGTGTAGCATATCTGCTTACCACTACCTATCATCCGTGACATTTGGGACCCTTGCTTATGTATGTGCTTGGTGTCAATAATTGATTGATTTGGAATGGTGCAAACTGTATGCCAGAAAGCACGCCTGGCCATTATTATTGTGGATTCCATGATACTATAAGGGTCCCGTGTTCAGTTTCTCATCAAATCTAAAAAAAGTAGCAGTTACTACAGATTGAATCTAACCACTCTTTCCTTTAAAAAAAATAATCTAACCAACAAATTTGACGGCATTTTTTGTTTTGAAGTTTGTTCTATGAAAAACTGTTCATGTTTTCTTGGGCAACTTGCGAGTTTGGTGCCGGAGACGCGAGGGATAAGAAGCAGCACCGGGCACGCGCGGAAAAGAATTCTATGAGACCAGGTCTCATGTGAGACCCATCCTGATAGATGACACATGACATTCACAAATCACAAAGCATCTCTCATCCCCCACTTAAAATCGATTTTTTTTTTAAAACTGTGATGGTTTTTATAGCAAATTCAGAATCTATACGTCCTCACACAAGAAAATCAAAACTAGCACCCTGTCGGCCTCCAGTGGGCCGAAGAGGGGCTCTTCCGCCTGCGGTTGACCGAAGTGGGCTCTTCAGCCTCCCGTTGGCTCAAGAGTACCCCAACTGGACCGAAGAGTACTCTTTGGTCTACCGTTGGCCGAAGAGTGCTCTTTGGTCATCCGTAGGCCGAAGAGTATTCTTTGGGGCCCAAGGCCTAGCATGGGCAAAAGAGCGCAGCCATGCAGCTTCGGCCTCCTGTTAATGCGAAAAGTTGGGGCCCGAGGACTCTTCGGCCTACGGTTGACCAAAGAGTGCTCTTCGGCCTACGGTAGACCAAAGAGTCCTTTTCAACCCAGTTGGGGCACTCTTCGGCCAACTGAAGGCTGAAGAGCCCACTTCGGTCAACCGCAGGCTGAAGAGCCCCTCTTCAGTCAACTGGAGGCCGATGGGGTGCTACTTTTGATTTTGGTGCGTGAGAACGTATAGATTCCAAATTTGCTATAAAAATCATCACAGTTTTGAAAAAAAATCCTTAAAATCAGGGGGGGAGAGATTAGATGCTTTGTAATTTGTGAATGCCACGTGTCATCCATCAGAACGGGTCTCACCTGCTAACCGTGAGACCTGGTCTCATATAATTTTTTTCCGGCACACACGCCGCGGGCGTATGTTAGAGCAAGTTTAGCACAACCGCTATAATCCTGGCCCGCAGAAGAAGTTTGAGGCGATGCCATAAATCCATACCGTAAATTAGACAATACTAGCAAACATGCTCGTGCATTGCAATAGAGAGAATTTTCTTTTACAAGCTAGCCAAATAAGTATGACTTAATACCCTGACATATGAGCCTCCTCTATTTTAACACAGTGACTCGCCATGTTACCACTTATCTTTCTTTCCGCCTTGCTGATGATGTATGCGATGTTCACGTGATCGCAATGTATTCGACATGGCAAATCCCAAGGCAATGAGCTTGCCATTGCATGCCACATTTTAAAAACTTTAAAAACAAATCTCATTGACCACAAACTCGCAATTTTTTTTGAGTAGTTTGAATATTTTCTAACATTTCATGGACATTTTTGTCAGATTCACGAATTTGTTTTGAATACACAATTATTTTTCAAAATCATGAACATGGTTTTATTTCCCTATATTTTTCCAAATTGTGTTTTTCTTATAATTTGCGAACAATTTTTGTAAAATCACAATATTTTTTGAAACTGCGAAAATTTTATGATTTCCCACACATTTTTGAATTCACAAACATTTTATGATTTCTCGAACATGTTTCTCAAAATTCACAACTTATTGAAATTTGAAAATGTTGAAAAAGAAGGAAAAAACAAAAAGAAATGAGAAAAGAAAAGACAAAAGACGAAATAAAAAAACTGGGGTGTCATGCCCTGCGAGCGGGCCCATGAACGCGCACTGGGTCTCCGCAGTGGAAGAGGCCTTAGCCACTGCGCTGCTTGTGCATCTATGAAATACATATGCTATCATCTCTATAAAAGAAGTGAACACGGCGGCAATTTTGGAAAAACAAATTGTTTTCTAACTTATGGTGGCATTGGTGGGCAATTTTTGTCAATTTATAGGGTAAATTATATTACGTACCGCCAAAAGCAATAGGCCCTTTATTATTAAGGTAGAGATAACTTAAATAAAAACCATGACACATATCAAATTATTAATATTTTGACATCATACAATAATTCTCTCAAATACAACAAATATTCAAATCCAAATAACAAATGGTCCAAAATTATTACAATAACAGATGGTTTGGAATCCTATATACCTAAGGGAGTCAGTTTCATTAACTTATTTATCTCAACATGCAAGCATGTCACCTCACTATACAATTATGAGTAGGATAAGGCCCAACACTACATGCAATCATGCATGGGAAATGACCCACCACTACATTCAACCATGCGTGTGAAAATGTTTTTATTAAATTATTTTACTTATATTCAATAAATATTGTTACAACTATACATAATCAAATATAATAAATTATATGTATTTCAAATTTTGATTCTCATGTTACCAATCCAAATTTTCATCAACTAATTCCCGCTGCAAAGGGCGGAGAAATTTTTAGTTAAAATAATTGTTCAAGCCACACATGAATGCAAATAGATCAAATTAATAAAACGTGAGTCTATTTCTCATACAGTTGCCACTGATGCTCAATGAGATCATTGCGGAGCTGCCACTATGTGCCACGGTTTTCAATAGGAAACTCAGTGATCTCATCTGGGTTTATGGTAGGCTTGACACGGCTACCAATATTGTCATAGAAAAACTTTAAGTATAAATCCCGCTCATCCTCGATGATCATGTTTTGTAGAATTACACATGCAGTCATGATATTTGAGAGGATTTCTTACCCCGGTAGAGAGTAGGACCTCGAACAATAACAAACCTAGCTTGCAACACCCCAAATGCCCTCTCAATATCTTTTCAGCATGCTTCTTTGAAAGTGCAACTATCCCTAGGTGGTTTTGGTAATTCATAACAACATATAGCTCATTGAGCTAATGCTATTCCAAGATAATTATTTCAGGAAAGCTCAATGATTGGCATGGCATGGATGTGAAAGTGGAACCCTCAAAATGCTAAGGACAAAGTATTGGCTCAAGCTCAAAAGCTCAAGACTCTTCATTTTATATTTTAGTGATCCAAGATCACATTGAGTCTTTAGGAAAAGCCAATACTATCAAGGAGGGATGAGGTGTTGCTTGAGCCTCTTGCTTCATGTGCTTAGTGATATGCTCCAAAACCCTCAACTACTTTCCCATATCCACATATGACCTAAACCCTAGGCCAAACTCGGTCCTACCAATTCTTCCTATCCGGCGCCACCGAGTTTTCATTTGTCATAAGCCACTGCCAAACCCTAGCAATTCGGTCCTACCGATAGGGATCTCGGTCTCACCGAGATGGGGTTGCAAACTCTCTGTTTCCCTTTCGTAACTTTTCGGTCTCACCGAAAGAGCGAATCGGTCCCACCGAGATTGCAATGTAAATTCAGTGTTTCCCCTTTGTAACTTTTCGGTCTCACCGAAAGAGCAAATCGGTCCCACCGAGTTTGCCTGACCAACTCTCTGGTTAGCTAATTACCAAATTCGGTCTCACCGAGTTTGTGTAATCGGTCTCACCGAGATTATGTTATGCCCAAACCCTAACCATATCGGTCCTACCGAGTTGCATGTCAGTCCCACCGAAAATCTATAACGGTCACTAGGTTTACATTTTCGGTCCGACCGAGTTTGTTGATTCGGTCCCACCGAGATTGGAAAACTGTGTGTAACGGTTGGATTTTGTGTGGAGGCTATATATACCCCTCCACCCCCTCTTCATTCATGAAGAGAGCCATCAGAACACATACACCATTCCAACTCATATGTTCTGAGAGAGAACCACCTACTCATGTGTTGAGACCAAGACATTCCATTCCTACCATATGAATCTTGATCTCTAGCCTTCCCAAGTTGCTTTCCACTCAAATCTTCTTTCCACCAAATCCAAATCCTATGAGAGAGAGTTGAGTGTTGGGGAGACTATTATTTGAAGCACAAGAGCAAGGAGTTCATTACCTACACACCATTTGTTACTTCTTGGAGAGTGGTGTCTCCTAGATTGGCTAGGTGTCACTTGGGAGCCTCCGACAAGATTGTGGAGTTGAACCAAGGAGTTTGTAAGGGCAAGGAGATCGCCTACTTCGTGAAGATCTACCGCTAGTGAGGCAAGTCCTGTGTGGGCGATGGCCATGGTGGGATAGACAAGGTTGCTTCTTCGTGGACCCTTTGCGGGTGGTTGCTTCTTCGTGGACCCTTTGTGGATGGAGCCCTGTGTGGACTCGCACAACCGTTACCCTTGGGTGGAGCCCTGTGTGGACTCACGCAACCATTACCCTTCGTGGGTTGAAGTCTCCATCAACGTGGATGTAGGATAGCACCACCTATCCGAACCACGGGAAAAACATTCGTGTCTCCAATTGCGTTTGAATTCTCCAAACCCTTCCCGTTACATTCTTGCAAGTTGCATGCTTTACTTTCCGCTGCCAATATACTCTTTGCATGCTTGCTTGAATTATGTGATGATTGCTTGACTTATCTTAAAATAGCTAAAATCTACCAAGAACTAAAAATGGGAAAAGGTTAAGTTTTTATTTGGTCAAGTAGTCTAATCACCCCCCTCTAGACATACTTTCGATCCTACAAGTGGTATCAGAGCTTTGGTCTCCATTTGCT